AAATAAATTAAATATTTATAAAGCATTGTGAAAAACTAGATTTGAATGAAAATACTTATCGCCCTTTCCTTTTTCTCGGGTATTGTTCGTTAGATTTTTTTTACTAACTATTCCCTAAGCTGCTTAAGCAATCGGAAGTCAAAAGTCATTGAATAGCGTGTCCCTCTCTAAGTCGAGCCAGAAGAAGGAAGATTATTTGAAGTCTCTAGGAATAAGAAATCAATGTAAAATCGTCTTTTTCCGCTGAGAAAATGATACATATTGATTAGAGCGCTCATTTTTCTAATTATTCGTCAAGCATACAATATTTGATGGGTTCTTCAAATGTTTTATCGATATTTGCATCAACAGAGCGCCGATTTGCCCCTCATCAATACGTAACAGGAGAGAGCGCGACAGATACCCCCGTGAAGGGCTCTACTCATTAACTTCACAAGACTCCTTATTGCAGAAATTCTACTCAAAAAATATTATGTTTGCTTTTAATTGAGCATTTTGCACCATTTAATTATTATAGCTCCTACAATTAGAGAGAAAATAGACTAATTGCACAAAAAGCATAAATTTTTAGACCAGCATCTTTCATAGACATGCTATTTAACGGTTCCTGTTTGCGCCTATCAATGTTGATAATATCTCTGAAATACGGCTCTATCGATATAGAAAAACTGTTCAGCAATTTCTTTTTAGATTTTGTTAGATATTTTATACTTGGTGAGAACATTCAATTTTAGTGCAAATCTACAGTCTTTGAATCTTAGGCATTCATTGGTCCATACTAAATTCTTTTCTCATTAATACAACTTCACATTTAAAAAAAAATCTGTATATCAGATAACATCCACTTGAATGAAAAAATTGAAGAATATCATCCAAACCGTTGTCCAAGAAATAAATTGATAAATTGACAGACGTTTATGTAATCCGTACTGTTGATTTATCCAGGTTGGAGTGTTGTTATTAGATTTCATTTTCTAGCAAGAGGCCAAGGGGCCACAACGTTCACCCGAATCAATATTGAATAACTGTTGAATCCATACTCTATGCTAAGTAGGAATTACAAGTATCCCAGACTTCCCAGTGGTTCTGGAGTGTTCAGACTGTACGTCGACAATAGCAGAAAACAGTCATTTTTTTTTTATCAGAAAAGCTCACCTTAGCCCAAAGATGAGCTAAAAATGGGTTTATATGGATTTTGCCAAAAAAGCAAAGAAACACGGTAGAACAATAATTTTAAAAAAATAGATAAAACCAATTAAAGCATTTAGAAATCTTGCTAAAAAGTACAGTGTCAGTGGGTGGAGTTATTGTTACATTGCTATACTCTAGAAGGAGAGAGATAAAAAATGGTTCATCTACTCTACGGCCACGGGGTTGGTCTGTATACCTTATGTCCGAGAATGATGACTTACAAAAATAAAAGAAAGCAGGGTCATTGTCTTATTTATTTTTCTACCTGGTCGTAAATCAAGTTGCCGTGTAGAAAGAAGCTAGAGTGACAGTGATAATTAGTTTACAGATGTAGAGCTACCGAGGAGAGTCCTTCAATGACAGACTCCCCTAGACCAGGAACACATGCACCAAGCCAGGTGTGCAGTCTATTCATTGATGACACTAATTGAAAAAAGCGTCATTTTGGCTTTGAAATGTTTCCAGAATTAATGTTCGCTTTAGCTTTAATTTTAGCAATTTTTAGTGAGAAGTAATGTATGTGTTAGGTATAGTGAATATGGTTTCCGTCATTGCAGATAAACAACGTTAAGTTGCGAGATTATTAGAAAAGATATGTACAATCAAAAATAAAACTAGAACGTAAACATTCAGTAATCAATTGTTGTATTAACCTACAACGAATTATAAAAATAATTAGTTATAATTATAAATTATAAAACTGATATTAGGAAATACAACAACTAGCAGGTATAAGAGTTTTGGCACAAAAAGAATCCAGCTCATGCAGTTTCTCTGCATGGCGACCAGCGCAAGTGCTTAAATTGCATATAAATTTCACAATTAAAAGTTTATAAGGTTGGACAGTGTGACAAAGCAATTCGCAAAATTTATCACCCTTTAAAGAACATAAACAATCACACAAAAGCCGATGCAGAATCAAATCGCTCAAGGAATTACTTTACTCGGGGATAATAATACGGATTTGACCCAAAGAATACATTACTTATTGTATATCCGTCGGAAGAAGCGCTGCTTTGTGGTCCTACGGATCACTTTATCCTGTAAATTTGATGTGATAATCGTCTTACGTCTATCATGTCTATATCACGACTTGCATTTTGAAAATTTATTGCAGTTTTATTGCCTTTTAAGCAATGGTCTGGGTAAACGCTATATTTTCAGACTGGTTCAACACTATCATTTCTTGCAATTTAAATGCTAAATAATTCATATATACTTGATATGAAAGCGGGTAACTGTGTTTTACTTTAAGACTTCATGTGTAAGAAATGACAGAATAAATCACAGAAGAGGTTAACATGCAAATAAATGCATTAAGTTATTTGCACACAAGTTTATCTTTCTTTTCAAATTTTTTTTAAACATAATATGAAGTTTCAAATGTATATTTGACAAGGATCCTTGACCGAACACACGGCGGATATGTCCGGTCCGCAAGGGATGCTGCTGTTTTTTAGAGGTCCGTGTTTGCTCTGCTCCTGATTTGTATTGTTTAATGACTTTGAGCTTGATACATATTTCATTGTAAAACATATCAAAAATGCCACCAAGCTCAGAAATATTTTTCCCTGCCATAACTTTACATAAACATTAACATTGCCTTAGTAAAAGACTTGGCTTTATGGCCTTTCAAGAATATTTCACTAATACTGGGATGTCACCGATTGCAAGTGGAAGACTAACAATCTGCTTCAACACACAAGACTTTGGTATATACAGGCAAATCTAAAGGGCTCTTAAAATCGAAATTCTGACTAATGCAATTACATTGCTAAATATGCAGTTCTAATGATTTTAATGAATAGTGGTTTAATTAATGATGTAATTTTCACAGAAAGCTTTTTGCGTTATTGTTATCCAATATCACTGCATTATCATTACAATTATAAGACAATAGATCAATCCATTACGGAATGTCACCAATAAAGCACGCTTTGAATCGGTAAACATGGCTGGCTTTTTATTTTATAAAACATTGGTCTCTACACATGAAAATTCTATTACAGCTCTGTCGACAACCTATCTAGTCGGAAAATCTGAAAATTGGAAAAATCTGCAAACTTCTGAAATATCTTAATTAAAAGGTTCACTATTCTTCTGTATGATTGAAAATCTCTGCCGAGGAGAGAAAGCCTCTTCTCCAAACAAGAGCGTGAATTCTCAAATAAATTGGATCCTTCGTTTCAACTATTGGTGGACTTGAAAGAGATTGGATTTTTTCTCTTGTCTGACCGGTATGAGATGTCTTACTTTTTTGTCTAGCGATGGAACAACACCTGTGGCTGCTACAAGCTTCCAGCAATGTAAGACGGTAACGAGATGTCCAACAAAAAAACGTTAACGAGATTGCAACAAGACTCGGAGAATTTTCTTCTATAAGAGGATTAAGACATATGCCCATGTGTAAAAAATATAATTGCATTGGCTTGCACCAATTTAATTCTGGCTATTGTTCATTTCTTTTTCTAATAAACGCGATCAAGGTTGATACACTGCAAGGGTGTAAACTTCTGGTATAAGCTATTCGATAATTCTCTAACAGTGCAAAGTCATTTTGAAGTATTTATTTTGATAACATTAAAAATATTGAAAGTCATATCTGATGTAAATTAGAGTTATTAACCGATTTGGATGCTCCAGGGTATATTTGAAAAATAAACAAAGACCGACTTTGAATACTGGGTTTTAATTTTCAACCTCGGAATATAAAACACAATTTAGACGACATTTACGTGCGTGTGAAGAAAACGACCAAGAGAATTCTAGACATGAATCGGACGACCTGCTCCAGAGAGAGACAAACGCTACCCTGTATCTCTGTCTCAATAACTCACAAAAACTAGGCACGGTGATTAACAACGGATACCAGAAAGGCAATTTACAGACAATTACAGAAAATGATACAAAGTATGAAAGAAATGACCCAAAAAAGGAAATTTAATATATCCCTTCTAAAGTGACATTCTGTAAGTAAGACTGTCTATCAGAGATGATGAAAGGGAAGAAGAGCTCATTATTATAACTGTGGAACTGGTTTACTTTTGCGTACATTGAGTTGGGTCACAACAACCCTTAATGTCGCAGATGTCTGACAATTATTGTGAATCTTCTGTCAACTTTATTGGGTTCTTTATGTTCTCTGTCTTATTACACTGTCTTCAATATCATTAGGAACGTCATCAAGTTAGAATGATGTAAATCGGGATCGAAGTCCCCATTGTACTACTGTATACGGGATCGGTTTTCTATCCAGGTGATAACCTTTGCATCTGGTGTACAATACACGTGCATGATATCGGCAGATTTTGGGTTGATAAAATCAAAATTATCACACGTCTTACAGAGATTAGGATCAAAATTACGGTATTCGTAATAGATAACCCTCGAGTCGCTAGAATTGATCCCTAACACATTAGTGAATCGAGTAAAAGGTGGTATGTGTTTCATTTAAAAAGCTTCAAATTGAGTTATTGCAATCATTAATCAAATCTTTGAAATTTTTATGCGACACTTTGGCTTAAGTGAACGATTGTTCTGTTTGTATCTTTGTCAATATACTGTCTTTTACATTAGATTTTGACCTTTCTAAACGCAAAAAAATATTCAAACCTTCCCGGCTTCCATTTCCTCGAAATCTCAAAAATTTAAGAAGAATTGTGCCTTTGCAGCCTTTATTTTTTTTTAAAAAAGCTGCAATGAGTTATCTTAAACTTGATTTTTTCCCTTAGATGTTTAAATTAATAATAACTGTAGTTTTTCAATTAAATATTAACACAGTCATTGAAAACAAAAAGGTAAAAACTCACAATGGGCCGGACTTGTCCGACTCGCTGGGTGATGGGGTCGTTTTGGACCACCTCCACTCGGCACTCGCTCTTCTTTGCGGTGTCCACAAACACTAAGTCGTCCTTCCTTAAGAAAACATTTCGTCCTATGTTCACTGATAATTCTTTTTTACTTACAAGAATCTGAGCATTTGATGTTAGGAAAAACAACAGTAAAATCCAAACTTCGAAATCCATCTTGCTTTGCTTTCAAATGAATCAAAGATGAACGAAATTAAGGGTATTCTATCCTCCACATTGTCACACTGGGTTCTTCATCTATAGGTCATGTCAAATAGTCCTGTCGATCATTGCTCTCTAAACGCTCACTCTTAAAGACAGCCTGTAGAAATGAAAGGATATATTGTAATGGAATTAAGAAATCCAGAAGTCACCCGAAGCAGGCCTAGGCTTTGCCAACGTCTCGAGTAAAAATGTGTTCGTCTAATTGGTTTGGTTTTAATCCGGAATTAACGAAAAGAGGGGCAGTTTTTTCAGTCTCTCTTTTATGCGGTGTAAACTCTTGAATGAGTTTGAAATTTTTGCTTGATCCCGTCAACACCTTACTGTTGGTATTACATTACAAATATTGGTGTTTGGATAAACAATGGTTTGCCCAGGGTTTAACAAGAAGGCTGTACCCTGGACTTCAGTAAACACTCATACAACGGGAAAAGTGTGAAGCTAGCAAAACACAACCAACGGAGTGAAAAAAGTTCATTAAGATAAAATACATTACACGAGACATGGCCAAAGGCTATTTTCTTATTTTCTTGTAAAATATTTGGAAAACGCAACTTGAATGGAAAAATTGCAGCAGAAACTCTAGAAATGTACGTCTAATATTTATATCCCATTCCCTAAATTGATTTGCATATTTTCTGTTGGAATATTCGGTGTACATCACAGTTGCAGATTTTATCAATAAATGTCGTGAGTTTAAAGTTTCAAGAAAAAAGTTAAATTCAGAGATAAACTAAATTCTTATAATTAACACCGGTTATTTATTGATGACGTGATAACATTTTTACCCGCTGGTTCAAAGCAAATATAATTATAAAATCAAAGGAATTTTTATTTACCGTTGTGCAATCCAGATTATGCAACGGACAAGAGACGGTGATCATCATATTCAATTTACAACCTTTAGAATTTGATTTTGATGAACTAGACGCTGTTTCCGTGCAATGCATAAATCTTCCCGTTCATGAATAACTTAATAAAATTCAAATAGAAGTACAAAAATGTCAATAAAACAAACAAATAACTAGTGTATGACACTCAGATTGAAAAACACATTTTTAAACCCATTGATAGACACTTAGGAACGAGAAGCACGCGGAGGAATATCGGGAGTAATTAGCGGAGATTGGGGATTTAGAGATTTATCCGCCAAGGCGTAAGAAATGACACCCAGAGGTGACTAAGTCTGGACTTGACCGGGATTCTGTCGGCAAGAACTGGAATTTGGGCCGCTCGGTTATACATATATATTATATGTATTTTAAAATTATCTTAATATCTTCAGTAATATTTATCAGTGCTTTGGGGGATTGTTTTAGTCCACTGTGTTCTGTATAATTTTTTTTAAAATGGGAGAAAACTATTAAACAAATAAAAATACCCATTTTAAACTTTGTTTAATGTACATGTATATATTAAGCAATTTAAGTGTAACTATGTTATCAACAATTTATAAGCAATAAATTATTCAGATATCAGGAAGACTATAACTTTTTGAATATTATTAATTCAGATATTATCTCAGAACGCACAGTAGGCCTTCTAACCAGACTGAAAACAGACTCCTAGATGTTTAAAGTTGTAACAATTATATAGCTGAGTTTATCAGGAGACAGTATCGGGAAAATCGTATCGTATTTACACTTCGCACCTTTCTGCTGAAAGAAAAAAAATCCCACATACGAAATCGGGTAAAAGGCGCCGTAAATTTTAGGTTTTCCATTGCTAGACTCGACTTATGGCATCGTCAACTGCACAATAAATCTACAAAGTACAGTCAAGGTGGTTCAACTGCGTTAAGTTGATGTCAACTCGTTATCTTTGATAACAAAATCTGTTTTAATGCGTACTAGGTGTCCCGTTTCTCTCCTAAATAAAAAATAAAATTTATTTGCAGAAAAACAATTGCACTGAGTAGGATTACTGACTGGGTCTTTCTTTTGTCCTTCGGATTTAAGATTATCTTTCCTTGTGTTATTCCGAGCCTAGGTCGGGTGAAGTTTTTGATAGGTTATCTGCGGATTTCTCAAAAAGATATGGGCGATTTACGCCTTAAGCCCTCCCTTCCTGCTCATCAATAAGATAAATGCTACAAAACTATTTATAAAGCAGTGTTACTGTTCCTAATTGATACTCTGTAAACAAAAAAAAACCCTTTGGCCTTTTATGGTCAGTTAAAACCGATTGAATGAAATTAATCATTGTTTATTGTTAAATTTTGGCTCCAGATTAGAAAGCAGACGTGTTAACTGTTATAAAAATGCCATGCAGATCATAACCCACACAAATATTGCTTCCGACAATTTTACATGTATTTCAAGACTTAAAAGTTTTCGAGGCATTGTGACGAGTTTGTCTATGTAGAATACCTTAAAGGACTAAAATTTTGGTTATACAAGAAACTAATATATATTGACTCATTGCTTACATAAAAATGTCAAAGCATCATAACTAAATTAAATATAAATTGCTTTAGACATATTCACCGATATATATTAAGGGTTATATTTCATATTTTTGAAAAGTTTTCTAAAGTACATACACTTGTCTTTTCAAACACTTCTAAAGCACATACGCAGTCACAAAGCACTTTTATATTGTATTAGAAACTTAGGTATACATATCTTCATCTACCCATTTGATCATAGCATTCATTTTGAAATACATGTGTACCTTTAATGTTTGCCATGTGTGAATAAAATGATATATCATACGTACTTTGAATTCTTTAAGACTAGGTCAATATTCAAATGATATTCTTTCATGAAAATTAATTTTTTGAGGACCAGGGTTTAAGCATGGGTGTCAATTAATTAACTGCAGTGTCGGACTAAAGCACTTTCACACCCGCATGGTACATAGTCACTCCAAGTTACCAGGAAATTTGAACGAATTTTAAAAGCAAGGTAACTAATTGTGCCCCTGTCTTAAGATTACGTAAACTTGAGATATTTCAATTATTTTGAAACCCCAAATCAGCTGAGATGAAGCTTATAAAAAATAGTAATGTTTGCATAAAAAAATACGAAAAATGATACATTGTCCTGGGAATACCTTGTTTGACCCTGTAATCTCCCTTAATACTTACAGCAAGTGACAAATGAAGTCTTCTTGTAATTAATTTGTCTAGGTGGTATTCCTTACGGTATGATTACGTCTCTATAAAAGGTTGGAGCCGATGGACTATCATTAGGAGTTACATGGAGATAAGTACAAATATCATATTATTGGTTTCAAGATTCGAGGACACGCAAATTCGGACACGCACAGGTGTGCGAATTATTGAAGAGTACATCTAGTAACCCTCAGTTTAAGTTATGTCACGAATCCAATGTTGTCGTCTTCCTATGTTTTTGTACCCCCTTGTCAGAAGAATGTGGGAAAACTAGAATTAATCGGTTATTTACCCCAAGACATATCCCCACCTGTGACAATAGGGTGTTCAAAATAACATTAAATAAATGCTAAATTAGAAACTAATCGTCAAATAAAACGTCATTGCTTACAGAAACTATGTGAAAACTTTGCTGAGCTGTTTTGAGCGTATGTACATTGTAACATTAAACATTCTTTCTAACTGTTTTTCAGGATGTGGAAAAGTATGTAAGAATATGGTAACTTAATTTAATCACTTATAAACTTCATTAGTAATGCCTGAGAGTGTGATAGTGTGATATGCGATATTTATTGTAGAAATAATATCAACATTACATAATAAATTTCACAACTTACTATATATATGAGAACCTACAGAAAATAAACCTAGTGCACTTTGATATAACGCCATGCCATTTTGCAAGCAATTTTTCTTAAATTAAATCTTTTGAGTCAAGCTGAGGGTTTGTGTGGCCTGTAGCTTATAATTTGTCTTAAACGTCAGAAACATTAGGGCTCCTATACATTTCCATTAGTTAGACAGGCCACACTCCTACTATGTAACAAAAAAACTAGTATACAAAGCTTCAGAAGAGAAATACTGTCTTTTTTGTTGCCTCTTTTGTTGACAAAGTAGTATTCTAATGCGCCATATATTGTTAATTAATGAACAATGGAATGCATCTTGCATTGTCTCCCCTTGATAATATATCTAACAACGTCCGTGTCCCTCTAAATGTAGCTTAGACACGTTGATAACTGTTACAACTGTAAATAGTCCATGAAAAATATGCAAAAAAAGTGCTTACAACCAAAATGATAAAAGCTGATCAATAAATAGCTAAAAAGCAGATATAGTTCATTATAAATGCAGAGAAATACGATAGGTGAACATTGTCCTTAGAAAGAGCGTCAAAGATAGAGATCGCAATGAAGACACTCAATTTATATACCACTCCTAAATCTTCAAAATATGACGGGGAACAAGTGATTTTTATCAGAAATATCGTTGGCAACACAACAGAATTGAACGAGCCATGTATATAAATAAAGCAAATAGGGTACCTCTGTTTATGCAAAGGAAGGAAACAGTTGTTTAACGTGCATACAAATTATGCACTAAGTACAAATTATAAGAGATAGTGATCGATGTTTTTCTTTTGTCTGTCTGCATAAAATTTAAGAAAGTTGCTGAGTACAGTCAGACCTGATAAATCTCAACAATATTTTAAGCTCCAAAAACGTTTCTCCGCTTTTAAAAATACATAATTATCTAACTAAAAAGACCTACCTGATCGCAGCTAAATCATAGGCGGGTCCCAAAAATATATTCCGTCTTCAGAAATTTACAACGAATGATCCAAGAAATTGATAGCCACTATTCTCGACATGATAAGTGATTAATTTTCATCATTAAGTAAAAGAAATCCGCACAGAGCACCCTCTTTTCACCAATTCCAGGTAGTTTACTACCACATGCAATAACTCCTGTGTCTTGTAACAAAATGAAATATACACCAGGCGACAGTATTGATTTCTAAATTAGCATTTTATTTCTAGCATTAAAATCCAATCCAGAATTTTAGGTTCGTTTTATCCTATATAGTTAAAGATAACCATTAATTATAATTTTAGAGGAAAACTTTCACTGAGTATAAGATGTTCTCACGTCGCCTTTCGCATTTTAACTGTCCATTGAATGTGGATTCCACCTGAATTTTAATTTAGAATTTATTATTTTCTTTTTTATCTAAATTCCACGCATTAACAGGTATGCTGTTCTTTAGGTGATAAGAAAAAACTCATTCTTTGTTCCTCCCGCTAGACACCACGTGATATGTATAGTACTATATATTATTGTCGTATTATCACTGGGAAGTCACTTATTGGACCAAACGATTGTTAAAGTGAAAATAAAACGACTTCTTGCAGCTCATGCACATTGTAAATCCACCGAATAAGTAAACTTTATGTCAAAGACTTGAGTATTTACACCTATAGACAAGGTGTGCGGCTGATCCTCACCTATGGATGAAAGATACGGGGTGGTTTCCCCCTTTTCCTCAGCAGATAGAGCTATTGTGGATTAAAGATTTTAATCCATCACCGACTAAATTTGCATTTGAAATCCCATTAAAGTTTCAAGTTCGTGGTTTAACATCCGACTGCGAGGGATTTAGATCCAGGCGTTATCTCCCTGCTAAGAAGTGCTCGTGCTCCGTTGTTATACTTTTTCTTATATTAAAGGGGTGTTCTTCCGAAGTAGAGAAACGATACACGTGAAATTAATTTCATTTCAATTGACGATAAAGGGGGCGTAACGATACATTGCTAACAATTAAAACTAAATTACAGCTCTTCGTATTTACTTTGGCCAGGAACATGTATTCCACCTGTAACCAAAGGGAGTCAAGGTTATCTCGTATTTTTTCGTCTTGAATTTATCTTTTAATTATATTGGTATACCCTTTTGTGATTAGGAAATTTTTTGATTGAGTTCAAGTAAATATTTGAAAAAAAAAGAAATTTCCTCAGACCAAATTAAAACAGTATTTACACACAGTACTTTTGCAGCTGTTTCAAATAAAAAAGAGAGTGTTATTATTACTTCATTGAAGCCCTGCTCCATTTGAGCCAATTATAACATTTATTTATTCTGTAAATCAAGTTTCCATTTTTATACAATAGATTATATATATTTAGAGGGAGGAATGATTAGAAGGTGTGCACGTATTCTGATATCAATTTGCGAGACAAAAATGTTGAAACACAAAATATTGTGGGTAAATGAAATATGCATTGTATCAAATAGCACATTTTTAACGAGATTCGTGCAAATACATTACTTCTTTAGCATGCTAATTGTTTATATGATATTTTAATGGAATTCCAAAGATTTTAACCTGGAGATGTAATAAAGGATTATCAAGGATAATGGCTTTACAGAATTTTCTTTTCCCGGTTAAATAGAAAAGAATAATTTTTTTCCTCGAGATGATTTCAATGTGGTTGATTTTTTTTCCCGAAAATCTAAGCAAAACATTGGAATTTTTTAAAATTAAAACTTTAATATAAAAAACTTTCTTATTTCTACACTAAAAAATTATTTCATCAAAATAAGGACTCCTCTTAGTCCTGTAATTTTCGTGGAACAATGTATGAATTTTCAATTGCATATAGCAGTATTTATTTTATCACAATATGCTCTCTTGAAGCAAAGATAAAAAGAAATTTTGAGAAAAATTTTTTAAAGCTATGTTATTGCATAAAATCTTATTGTTAGCTTATCATAAATAAGAAATTTAATATAAACCACAAGTGAAGGGAAACAAGACATAATAATATCTTTGTAAAATCTGAATTAAAACACGAGAGAAAAATGCCTTTGTAAAGTTTGCGACCTTTTGAATATTTTATATATTTTCGTGTCTTAATTTCAAAGAGAATAGGTAGATTCCTTGCAAAATCATAAAAATTATAGCATGTTGAATATAGGATATCAAATTTCAGAAAACCGAAAATAACAAGTCTCTACATCTCATAAAACAGAAGATATAGGATAATGTTTGCCAGTTAAGCATTTTACAGGTAACCCTTAATCATTTCAGAAACGTCTTAATTTGGTGTTTTCATCGACGTTGAAAAGAATTTTTGAAACAAAATAGCTTTGAGAGAAGTTCATAATGTATAATATGATTGTGTATGTCATCAGGAACAGTTTAATCATGATAGGGTTTCACCGTGCGTCTAAAGCTAGATTACAATAGGGCGGGAGGGGACTCTATGATAGCTAACCCCTGAATAATTTGGGGGAATCAGAGTGTCCTCTGAGATTACGCGCCTGCACGTGATGAACATCACTTACACGAGTCTGCCAAGACGTGTAAGCCATCATAAGCTTTATCTGCATCTAAAAAAAGTGAACATAAAAATGCTCCCCTCATTCTACAAGTATCTAAGTTACAAAAATCTTACTTTTCTATAAAATTTAACTAATTATTTAGAAATAAATCATAATGAAATAAAAAAAAATTACAGAGAGGTGAATCGTAAGATTTTTTTGTGAAAAGGGTCTCGGATCCCCTGTTTTTGCTGACAGTCCAGATCAATGAATAATTTGCAACTTCCTTTTCTTGAAATAAAGGAACTTTAATGAGGTATTTAGCTGATATACATTGACGTCGTCTATGCCTACACTGTCTTGAATGTCATTAGACCCCGGGGAATAGGAAACACTTCCTTTCTTATTATCAGTTGAAATATCTTTGTTAAATCTTTCGAAATGTGTTTTAAGAAGATAGACAATCCTAAAATCTGATAAGTGAAACATGCACAGCCATCTTGACCTGTTAATTGCATTTATTTATTTTGTTTTTGGCAAATTAAGAATCTGAAACATTTTATATTTAATTTCTGGTTCACGTTTAAAAAAAAAAATAAATCAATAATATAACTACTTACCCCGGTAGATATTTTTGTCTTTGCTATGTTGAAAATCTGCAGCATGTCAAATTTTGTCCTTGCACCTTTAATTTTGTTTTTGGCATATTAATCATTTTGCATTTTTGTTTCTTTTTATTTGGTTTATGTTTTATAAAAATTCCAATGCTATACCATGCCTACTTGAGCTTTACTACACCTTAACTTTCAAAACCTCTGAAGGGTTGGAACTAGGGTATATTTCAGATGTCGCACTCTTTCCTTAATCCTTCAATCTTGATCTTTGAGTTTGATCTACTTTTGGAACATATCTTCTGAACAATTAATGAGTGCTAGGACTTTCATTATCACAGATGCATTCCTTGTGACAAACCCTCTCTTTAGGTACCAACAAATTAAACATCCTGACCTTGACCATGGAGTTTTGACATACCTGCAAGAAAGGACAAGATAGGTTAAGATCCCTTTCTGGTCCCTGATTCTGTCTTTCAGAACGAAACAACACTTCATCCATAAAAAGCCGTTGTCACCCCTGTCACAAAATGAGTATTGGTTCCAAGTTTTGGAATACACAGAGGTCACAGAGAGGCCAGAAATCGGGTAAATTTTCGAATTCTCTCATTTTTATGCAAATTTTCATCGATTTTGCAGCACATTTTGTTTCGGAAAACATTGAGCACAAGCTTGGCTATCTACCAAATTTATATATTTTATACACTAGTATCAGACGCAGTTTATGTGTAAAAATCTCAGATATAGGCAAGCTTGTGCTGTATGTTTTCCAAAGAGAAAAGTTTCTCAAATATGATGCAGTTCCACCATAATTGAGGAAATTGGGAAAATGTCCTACTTCTGCACCCTCTAGTAGCTTCCATGTATGCTTTGAGTCCAAATTAGTGCTGGTTTTAAAGCATTAGCAAGCATCATTTTACGTTAAGTTTTATTATGTTTCATTGGTTTTTGCTTTTTAAGGTTTTGTTGTTCGTACATGTAATATAAAAATCTGCGACTTTGGTACTTTTTGTCACTGGCAAAATAAAATACTGCAACAAGACTATATATGTATTTGCAAATATTCATTAATTTTAATCAATGAATTAATTTATTAAATTCAATTTATTTATTTTATTTGAAAAAGAAAGATCTGCAGTATATTTACCCGAGATTTCTTAACGTCATTTTTCTTTTGCAAACATACATTCAACGACTTGAATTTTTATTTGGCAAAAAAATTAAATTCCGCAACATGACTTTTAGCATCTTTTTTCAATTTTTTACATTTTATTTGGGCTGAAAACTGTATTTTTGAATGCGATGCTTATGGTTTAGGAAAGTCAAGATCTGTGATAAGCATGTTTTGGTTTGAACAGTCGGCAAAGGATACTTACTCCTCCTAGGCAGCTGAACCAAAGGGGGCCCGTGTTCATGCACTCTCCAAAAATTTGTTTCGGTATTATTTTGAGATCAATCGATGTTTTTTTTTTATTTTCAGCTTTTTTTAAAAAAAAAATTCTAATTTTTTTTTTGTTTGATGTTTTTTTTTTTGCTATTTTTCATCCATAGTACTTTTTAAAATTATAAGAAAATAAAGTAACCAATCTGTTACTGTTGGAATTAAACTCTTTATTTTGTGTAAAGGTATAGGCAGATAGTTCAGGTTTTAGAGTCCAAAACTGCATAACCATATAACTAGAGCTGGGATTCTTAAGTTTCTCTTGTTCGGAGTTACTCGCGTGTGGGCTGGAGAAAATGGCGCTCAAACCCCAGCGTTGACAGAACCAAGTCGCTTCGGTTTGTTCATCTTTGAGAGCCGAATGTTCCACAAATGTAGATGAAGATAAGATTATAAAACAGAGAATGTCAGAACTGTTAATCCATCTGTTTTTCTTTGATATGCATGTTTTGCTAATCCGCACAAGCTAGTATATATGATTCGCCAAGCGCCGGAAATAAAGAATTCACCATGAAGAAATACCCAAAAGTTCCTTGTTTGTGCAGAAATAACTTTAACAGTGACCAAGATACATCGTAATTCAAATAATCAGTTTTAGTTTCTCTCATGGTTTATCATACTCTGGTTTGTAGAAATAAATTGAGTCAAATTCCAGGCGTCATATATCAATAACTTGTATTTTGACTGAAAATAAAAAAACAGCTGTCAGCTGTTTGTATGAAAAAAAAAGTGTCCGATGCAATTTGTGTCCGATGTACGGTGAAATAATTGACTACAGTGACTTTTTTGATGGGTTGGACAAGTCGAATTTAAAAGAACCATAACTCTGAAAATTGCAAAATCATAAATTTCGATTCAATGTAAAATATGCAGCATTTGTGGGGTATTTTTATCATGACAAACACAATCGGTAACAAACTGATTTATATGTGTCCGATGTATGGTGAACTCACCCTATATGATTCGCCAAGCGCCGGAAAAAAAAACACACCCAAAAGATCCTTGTTTGTGCAGCTAACAGTGACCCCGTAATTCAAATAATCAGTTTTAGTTTGTGCAGCTAACAGTTATTTTTGTTTGTGCCAAATTCAAATTAAATGTAATTCAAATAATCTTTTAGTTTGTGCAGAGCAATTCAAATAATCAGTTTTAGTTTGTGCAGCCAGTGACCGCAAATAATCAGTTTTAGTTTGTGTTCATATTTTCATTTTAGTTTGTGCATGCATTCAAATAATCAGTTTTAAAAGTGTAATTCAAATAATCAGTTTTAGTTTGTGCAGCTAACAGTGCTAATTCAAATAATCAGTTTTACAATTTAAATAATCAGTTTTATTTTTAACAGTACAA